TGGATATTCTATATATGGAAATATTATAACAAGGAATTGAACATATATTGGACCCTTGTAATAATGAGTCGAGCCTCATATGCTTCGGATATAGGATCGATTATATATGCTATAATATTCGATTATTCTATTTATCAAATGATTTTAGCATTATGTGGAACATGATTAGGATTACATGTGACTGAAGTTGTCAAACAACTATCAAGAACATTCTAAGGTTTTACCAAAGAACTGGTTGGTTGTGGACTGTTGGAAGTATGTTACTAGGATGAATTATAGTGACACGTTCTGGATTGAGATGATTCTTTTTCATATGAGAATATGGGAATGGTTCCATAATGGGAGATGCTTGTGAAATCTACATGTGAGTTGGAAACTTTAATGGAAAGAAGTGTTCAAGGAGTGTACCTTGAAATTGAGACTTCATAATCATGGAATTGTTCTGAGTAACAAGTTCCAATGGAACATTCTGTAATATCGAAGGCTGAGTCCGTGAATTTAGAACCTTGACATCACAGAAAGACAATGCATGAAATTTCACTACATTATAAATAATGATAAGAATTTGGAATTAGGAAACGTGCATCATTGAAATAGTGTCTAGTGGATCTATTCACAAAGGAAGGACCATAGGGAGGCATAGTATACATGTTCATAACATAGACATGACTAATGTTATCTAATTCAAAATATTAGTTGATTACTCAAAAAATTATACAATGAATAAATTCGTAATTACTATGGTGATTAAACAATTGGAATTATTTATGTTCATTAATTTTGAAACCATCAATAATTTATTTATGATTGTGTTTCACTTTGCATGTTTACTTCCCTAAGTAATTTTAAGATCATTCAAAATCTCACAGTCTCTCATACCTTTGGAAGTAAGTAGTGAATTAAGACTGTCAAGAATTGATTGTAGATTGTCGATTAAGGTTAAGACATTGCAATTGGAATTGCTACGATATTCATGAGTACTTTGAAAATAGAGATTTTAAGTATTAGATAAACCCATGCTTGGATATTACTTCTTGGCTTTTATCACAAGTAATTTTGAGACGATAAGATCCACTATTCTTAAGCGGATATATATATATATATATATATATATATATATATATATATATATATATATATATATATATATCGTAGTTTACGAAGCAATTGTGCATTTTTTTACCCAAACACATCTCGTAACTGAGTGTTAAAAAGTGTAATTCCATCCAAGATTTTGTTAGTAAAATGTATGACAATATAGTCAAAGTAATTTGTTCCGTTTTCCTTAACAGGAATAACGATATCTTTGAGTCCCTCGATGATTTGTTGCCGACATTTGGAGTGCTTGGCAGAGCTCGGACTAAATTGATGTTTTCAGTTAGTAGTCTGAATTTAGTCGTCATAATTCAGGAAATCGAGAAACAAAATCTTGGACTATAAGATTGATTTTAATCCATGTTTCACGCCCATACAATATCTTATAGAACGAATGAATAGTTGATCACTTATCTTAAGGTCGACGTTTGATTTGAGTCAGAGTTTGGCAGCGGCTTTGGAAATCACTCTTTGCTGTTTAGTTCAAGGTCAATACTTGCAACAATAGTCACAGATTTATCCAAGTGGGAGATTATTGCATTAAGGTATCTAAGGCAGTAACTAAATTGATATATTTTTGTAATTAGAAGCAAAATCCTTTTTGGATTGCCCTCATAACTAGAACTTGATTAGAATGAAATCTATAAAGAGATGATGATTTATTAGACTATTATATAGTTAATAAACTAATTGAAAGTTATGAGGAAATAATTTATTAATATATTATATGATTAATACAATAATTGGAAATAAACAGTTGGTTTGTTAATTTATTATGTGATTAATAAATTAATATGAGATAATAATTGATTTGTTAATTTATATGATTAATAAATTAATGAGAAATCAATTAGTACTAATTAATTATTAATCAAAATTATCTGGAATTAATTTGGGATTATTTGGAATTAATTAAAGATGTAAGGGGTGAATTTAAATTTTTCATAGTTGAGAAAAGAAAGAGAATTCTAGAACCTACCATCAAGGTGGACGGTTTTGGGAGCCTTTACAGGGTTTCCAGAAACCCCCCGGATGATAATAAAGAAATGATTTGGATTAAGATTAAATCTATTATTTTATCATTCAAATCTTGCTTTGTCCGTAAGTTAGTTAAACTATAAATAAGACCCATTGGGATCTCAAATTTGTTCATACTCTTCTAAGGAAGATACTTTGGCCGAAAATCTCCTCCTTCCTTTCTCATCTTGTGCTCTAGTTCTAGAGTTTGGATGTGAGCCATTAGAGGCATCATCCTTTTGGTAATAAGCTTTCCAACTACACTACAAGGAGATTGAAGTGATTTGTTTACTACAAAAAATTGAAGGTATGTAACCCTAATACCATGATTTTGATTATACTAGGGTTTAAGCTAGATTTAGTTATCCACTATATGTTGCTATCAATGTGTATACCATATATCTTTTGTAGGATGCATGTACTCTATTAATAGTTAATTGTTTTTACGTATTTTACAACATTGTTTCCTATAAAACCCAACAATATGATCCAAAATACGATGATTTAAAATATATATGATTCAATTTTTTTGTTCAACATGTTTATGATCTTTAATTTGTTAAAATCTAAAAATATTTTGATTCAAATATTTTATTATCGTTAATTATATCTTTTATGATTCAAATTTAGATAATTCAAAATATATAATGATCCAAAATTTATTTTTCAACTAAAACTTTATTTAATTAGATATAATATTGATCCAAAATCATATAATTCAAAAATGATATAGTCCAAAATATTATGATTCAAAATTATGATCGAAAAATAATATGATTCTGAAAAAAGTATGAACGAAAACAATATCGTGGTTAATATTTTTCTTATTTAAAACTTTTATAAGTGTTAAAAATTAAAAACTCGAACTAATATTTAGTTCAAAAATATGAAATAATAAAAATACATATAAAAAAATAAAAAATACAAAAAAAACACTGATAACTTTAAATATGTGTAAAGATATTAAATAACCCAAAAATAAATAAATAAAATAAAAAAATCTTAAAACCATATATATATATATAATTTTTTTTAAATATAAAAAAAATTAAAACTCACTTAAATGACGTTCTATAAACGTTCGTCGCACATGATTAAATAATCAAAGACTGTATTACCACGAACCTGCGTCGCATGCGAACACGTCACATCTAAATATTGAGTTTGACGTTTGTGCTCTTGATAAAGTGAGTGATTGAGACTTTTTATCGCAATACTCAACATTTTTTGAGTTTTCACCGGGTCCACACTCACTCCGTGAAGAACACAAATTGATTTTTCACACAGATATAGAGTTTTCATTTCCTTGGTTTAATAGTATGAATTTGAAAGTTGTGATTAAATGGTTAAGGATAACACTTGATTGAGACCGAACGAACGCTAACAGAAACAAAGAAACAGTCTCAATCTCGGTTTGAGTTTCAAACCGGTATCCCATTATATGGCTGCAATTAAACAATAATCATAATTTTCATTAAAGAATTATAGTACCTTTTAGTTATCTTTTACAAAGTTCGACACATGGATTAAAATTGCCTTCCTATTTTTTCTTGGAATCATGACTCAAATGTTATATGAGAGTTGAATAATGACCTTTTAGTTAAAAGGGTCCTTCATTACCGTCAAATCAAAAGTCTTTTGGTTATTAAAATTGACTTTCTAAATAAAAATATTGATATTTCACGAGGAAGTTAAACATAGTGTCTTTTAACAACTATTGATATAATACTGCAAATATACTTACTTTTAACAAATATTTGATCAAATATTAAAAATCTTTTAGATCGGAAAAAGTTTGAGTAAATTACACGAATGGTCCTATGGTTTGAGGTAATTTGCATGTTTAGTCCCTAACTTATTTTTTTAACTCGGAAATACCCTACTGTTTGTTCTTGTTACGTGCTTGGTTCATACTGTTTGTTTTTATTGCGTGATTGGTCCCTTTCTTACCTAAAAAAACTATTATTTAAATAGAGAAAAATAATTGGGTAGGTAAGGTAAAGTGAGGAGGTGAGGTTGAAGGTGTGTTTTAACTAAATTAAAAAAATAAATGACAAAATAGTCATTTTAGGTAAAACATGGATCAAACATGTAACAAAAACAAACAGTAGGGACCTTTCAAGTTAAAAAAAAAATAAGTTAGAAACGAAACGCATGCATTACCGTAAACCATAGGGACCATTCATGTAATTTACTCAAAAAAGTTTTAAACAAATATTTGATCAAATATTACAAAACTTTTAGTTCTCATAACAAAAGCTTGAACTATATTTAATTAAATTCTAACATGAAATCATAAATTTTTTTTTGATACTAATACATGTGTTTAACTAACGGTGGTTGATGAGCTAGGTTAATACTGTACGTTTTACTTTTTAGGTTATTGAACACTAGGTGTGAGACCCATATATTACATGAGTTTATTTAAAAAAAAATGAAATTTTAACAATTTGAGAAGTTTGAATTTATAAGAAAAATGAGAAAAAATTTAAATTATTAAAATTAATGAGACTTTAATACATTGAATACATTACATATATAAATCATTTCTAATAAATACCTTACATATATATTACCTTATATATTAAATGTGGAATTTTAATTTAATAAAATGAAAATTACAATAAAATGACAAGTGGAAAATAGAAAATTAAAAAATTCTAGAAAATGTCATGTATCTAAATGAAGCTAAATGAAGGAGAAGATGACATATGGCAAAAAAAACTTTCATTTATTAATAAATGGATTATTACTTAGGTTATTATCTGAAAAGTAAAACATATTAACTTTATCACCGGAAAATGAATGTTTTAATCAATTTTCAGATTTTATAAAAAATAAAGAGAAAGTAGAGAGAAAACAAAAAGCCGACAAAGAACATATAGTGATTAAGAGAACAGCTTACCAAGAATGACACCTATTTTTTTGCTCCTTCCGTAAATATAACAACTCGTACCCGAGGCTGCGTCAACATTTATGGAACAATACCCTCCCTTCATTTCACACCATTTGCATTCTGGCGAACTTACATCTCCGGATGCTGAATAAATCAAAGAAAGTGTTATCGGAACATAAATGTTGTCCCCATCAATAGATTGTCGAGGAAAGCCTTTTTCGAAGTATGCACTGTTCATGAAGAAGGCAGTCCCACAGCTTCCATCTCCAACCGGCCTTTTCAACCCAGTTCGATTCAAGTTAAACGATTCGAGATAATAAGAAAACGTACTTTGGCAACAACCAACTCCAAAGCAGTTGTTTCTGTCACTAACAGTTTTTTTGCGACAAATCGTTGAACAACCAGCGACAATACTCCCACTCTTTGTCACGTTAGCATAAATATTGCCACATCCCTTAACGAAGAAGCTGTTGTCGTATACCGAAATAGCAAAGGGACTCTCGTCACTTAGGACAAGAGTGCTATTCTGCATTGAATTCTCGCAATCAAAAGTCATGGATACGTTAACAATGACATCTCCGGTGGAGCTTGCATGCAAGACCTCCACGTTGTTGAGTGAAGGTAGATATGGTATCGAGGAGTTACAGTCAACGTTGTACCATTTGTTCAGAAAACAATTTCTTCCAATCCCAAAAGGGAATGGAATCAAGATCCCTCCGCACGTATCATTGCATCCTTTTTTGCTGATGCTCTTGGCTTTTGTTAATGTTGTTGTTCTTGTTAAGGAGATCAAGATAAGTAGATGCAAAACTCGAAAGACCTGCATTTTCTTTTTAACAATAACGATGGAAGGCTTTGAAGAAAGAAAACTATATAAGTCAATTTATGTGCTCCAGGGTGGTGCATGATTTGGTTATTTTTTGGAGAAATTTTATTCTTAGTTGACTTTGTGTCATATTTTTGCCATTCTAAAATCAAGTGGCTGATATTTTTTATGTATATGTTTTGGAATATTAGACTAAATCAAATACGTAAAACTAATTAATCTTTTCGTTCCCAGAAAATTATTATAATGCCTAATAAATTTTTGGAAAGAAGAAACCCTTTTTTTATTATTTTTTTTTTATAGCAACGACTTTATCAAAATATTATAGGTAAAATGAGATTTAAGGAAAAAAAAAAAACCCCATATCGTGTTTGTCCCTGAATAGAAAACTAAAATAAGAAACTATTATTGTCGTCGTACTAAACATATTTAATTTAGAGAAATTAAATATCCTTTTATTTTTTGTTTTTACAAATCTTTCCATCTAATTAAATAGTAACATATAACATTTAATATTTATTTAATGATATTTTAATATAAAGAGAAATTAAATTACCTCTTACATTTTATGTCTACAATTATTCATACATACTAAAATTATGACAAATGACTATTCAATTTAATTTTATTTGATATATTTCTAATATAGTTTGAACGAGTTAGTTTAAAAAATATGGAATGATGATAGTTGTCATAATTTTATTGACTAAGAACATTTGTAGGCATAAAAAGTAGGAAAAATTTAAGTTTACTTTAATATATTAATATGACACATGTCATCATTTAATTCGGTAGAAAGATTTTGTAGGACCAAAAATATGAGGATATTTAATCACCCATTTATTTATACAGAAAACCAATAAATGAGCTAAAAGGGGATATATAACAAAACATCCAACACTTTTTGCTTTTATAAAACTAACCATGAATTTTACACAACAGAAAAGCAGGAAAGTCTGTAAGCCCCAAAATTAGATTGATGTATCAATCAGATCCACTTAATGATGCAGAATCACAATCAAGTGGATGATGCAAGATAGAGTGGAGAAGAAGAAGAAGAAGAACTTGATGAATCTCTATGAATTGATAATAAGAATGATGCTCCACATAAGATTCACACACACACACACACACACACTCTTCTTCTCTCTAACTTTCTCTCTCTACTCAACAATGACTTCCCTTTTTGATATCCCCCCTTCTCATATGCACTCTAGCCTCACCTAACTCTCCTTTCTCAAACTATATATATATATATATATATATATATATATATATATATATATATATATATATATATATATATATATATATATATATATATATATCCTAAGGCGAAGCCCAAAATACTAGGCCTTGACCGAAAACACATGCGTTTTCGGTCCAAGCTATAAATAAACCAATAATATTTTCGGCCCAAGACTAAAAACAATAAATATTTAGAAAAGCAAAGTATAAACCATATTTTTAACCCAACAATCCCCCTTGGTTTATAGCTTTCTTTTCTTTTGACCCAACAAACTCCCCTAGGTTTGTAGCTTACCTTTCTCGTCAATCTTCACTTTGAGCTTGACTTTAGCGTTAATCTTTAAATTCTTCACAGCTTCAAGATGAACATATGAATCTTCCATGTGAGTGACTTCATCTTGAGCAGTTGGATTTTTCTTCAAAATTTAACATTGAACGCACGTTGAGTGTGAAAGCTTCATGTAGAGATTCTTGAAAATTAACACTTTTAGCTTAAGAATCTTCAGAGAGAACGACAAAGAACGAATCTTCTGGATCACTTCAGCAGGTACATAGATAACAGCAAATTGATTAAGGAGGCTTCAATGCAATCTGTCACATAATCTTCAAGTATAACTTCACCTTGCTTCTAGGGTTGAAAAATTGTATGTTGAAAGAATAATCTTCATTTCTTGTTCTTTCGAATGAGAATTCTTCGACAATCACAGATGAAGCTTTGGCTCAGAAAATCTCGATACAGTCTCCATGAGTCCCATCTACATCTGAATTCAGTTTTCAAGACAAATAAAAATTTGAGATAAAATTGAAACTAAAAGAAAACTTAACACACAATATTTTTAAATTTTTTTTTATATTTTCTGGAAAAATAAAACAGAAACAAAAATATTTTTGGATTTTTTTAAATTTCTAAAAAAGAAATAAAACAGAAATAACACTATTTTTGAATTTTTTATTTTTTATTTTTCTGATTTTTGTTTGACTTTTAAAATTTTTAATTCTCCCCCTTTAATTTGTGCATAGAGGAAAACTATGAACAAATTTAACAGAAACAAAAATCATAGCTAACTTTAAGACTGATTTGGGATCAAAGTTGTCAAACAAATCAATATCGTTTATCAGCACACACTTGCATGTTTAGATCTGGTCAATCACCGGTATTATGGTCCACTTAAACATGAAGGATGTTGACAAATTGGACAGATAATAAGTGACAATACATTTCACCTATATTCATATATGGACCATTTAGCTGACGATGACCAAGGATATTGTTGTCCACTTAAATTCAGCAGCGAGATCTACAGACAACCTTTAAATTGTTCAATTTTAGATGCATTAAAACGTGTTTCCTACTTCCTGATATACCCCGGTTATCAAGAACTTCCAAAGAACTCCTTACTTTAGATGAGTATTCAATCATTAAGAAAGAAGTCAGATATAGAGCTACATATGTTGTATCCCAGGTCGGATGTCTTCCAATCACGCAGAGGGAACAACATATGACTAACATAGATAGAGGGATAAAGAAGTAGAAGGGTACATATGCTGTGTCCCAGGTCGAATCTTTCGATCACGCAGAGGGGACAACATATAACTAACAGATAGAAAAAATTACATATATAAGGAGGTGCATAGAAATAGAGTTGCATATGTTGCATTCTAGGTTGGATCTCTTCCAATCATGCAGAGGAGACAACATATGACTGACATATAGAAAGCTAGAAAACAATTTCCTACAGACCTACTTTATCAGAATCCCCCAGTCACCCTATCAGTACCGGAATTAAGGACATGAGTCCATACATCGAGGAAATGTTAAACCACAATTCTAGATACATAAGACTTTAGTGTATCCTACAGGTTCCCATGTTTATCTCACCGCTCAATCTACCCGAGCGTCGTATTGTTAGACCAAATAGAACTATCTAAGTCCACAATGTTAAGTCCTTTCATTGTCAATCTACGTCTAGTCCTTTTAAATCCTTCGTGCCTACCAGCGCATTAAGCACAAAGTCTAAACAACTTAGCTTCAGTACATTACACGAATCACAAATTACCATTTAGCACTAGACTTCATATCACTTCCCAAATGATTCCCTACAGACAAACCACCATTAGAACATATTTTTGTATTTTGATTTTTCTTAATTAATTATTATTATTTTTTTTTGTATTTTGATTTCTCCCCCATAAATTGAGCACGGAGAAGAAATAAAATAAATGCGCAAAATTAAACAAAAATTTGTCTTTGAAACGAAGCATTTTAAGAAAAACTCAGGAGCATCGAAAGAATTCAAACCGAAAGTCAGTAATTGAAGACCCAAGCAACAACGAATTCAGCCTTAGCTGTGTTTCAATCTCGGAACAGATCCAAAAATTCTGCATTGGACACGTTCCATCATAGTGTCCCAATCGTGACCCATCAACAATTCGTCCACTAAGACAGGCTCCACAACCAAACTTTACTGATTATCACTCACACGCATCATCATCATGGTTGCCGGACACCGGTGCAAACTGTCACGTGGCGCCTAATCTCAACGGTTTTGACAGCTCCGAGCCTTATTATGGTGAGGATACACTTCATGTTGGTAATGGCAAAGGTTTTCCTATTCTTCATATTGCTTCTACATCTTTTAACTCACCAAGCAAAACCTTTTCAATAAACAAAATTCTACATGTCCCTCAAATCAAACGAAACCTTCTTTCTGTACAACGTTTTTGTCAAGACAACAATGTGTTCTTTAAGTTTCACTCTACCTTTTTTTTTTGTGAAGGATACAGTTAACAGAACTATCCTCCTCATGGGTCCTAGTAAAGATGGTCTTTACTCTTTCTCTCTACCAAAGATTCATCCCGTTTCCAATGTTGCCTTTTCCACTATTCGAACTTCTCCAACAACTTGGCATCAAAGACTTGGACATCCCCACCCGCAACTTTTACACTCTATGATTTCGAAAAACCATCTTCCTGTTACAAAAAATTCTGCCATTTCTTTTTGTAATCCATGCCCTATGGGAAAATCCTTAAAAATGCATTTATCTTCTTCAAATCATACAAGTTCACATGTCTTGGATTTAGTACTCTGTGATGTTTGGGGACCCGCTCCTGTTACTTCCTTTTAAGGTCATTGTTATTTTTTACTTTGTGTTGATCATTATACTAGATATATGTGGCTATTTCCCATAAAACAAAAATCTGATGTTCTCAGCACATTTAAACAGTTTCATACAATGGCTGAAAGACAATTTGAAACTGAACTCAAATCGGTTCAAACAGACTGCGAAGGGGGAATTTCAATACTTATCCTCCTTTTTCACAACTCTTGGAATCATACACCGTCTCTCTTGCCCTCGTACAAGCAAACAAAATAGATTTGTTGAGTGACGACACCGCGGTATGGTGGAAACTGGTCTCATCCTCTTGGCTCAATCTGGCGTTCCAATGCATTTTTGGAACTTTGCCTTTGAGTCCGCTATATATTTGATAAACTGTATGTCTTCTCGCACTTCATCAAATATCTCTCCTTTTGAACATCTTCTTAATCGCAAACCCGATTTGTCTTTCTTACGTGTCTTCGGGTGTCAATGTTTCCCTCACCTTCGTCCATACAATCCACATAAGATGGATTTCCCCTCTCTACCTTGTATCTTTTTAGGGTGTAGCTTATCTCATCATGGGTATCAATGCCTAGATCCCACTACAGATCACATGTATGTTGCCCGACATATACGGTTTAATGAAGCATATTT